AATGACGACTTCAACTGACAGATACTTCATGAAAATAATTTGCTTTTTGCACTCAGTATTTTGTACGTTTGCAAAAAACTTTGACAGCTTTCAAAGCAATTTTGTTCTATAAAAAAATTAATAAAACAATTACGGTATCAAATACCAATTGAAAAGATATGGAGCCAAATGTTGAAATGAAGAGCGGCAAGGAAACGACAAGAAAGCCAAGCGTCTAGCGAAAAGGGGGGAGCGAAGACGACAACGTTGGCTCGAGGAGACTGCTGAGGAAAGAGAAGCTCGCCTGGGAAAGCGTAGAGAAGCATGGGAGCGTAGAGAAGCAGTACCAACGATACTGTAGCTATACAAGTTGAAGTATGATATTCGACTGTCTATATTCGACTATTTCTTCACAATTTTGGGAAATAAAGAGTTTGTCATGACACGCTCAAGTCAGTATAACCAGACTGCATTTTATTTATATCAGTTATCACAGCCACAGGCAATTTTATGCTGTCAAATACCGTCGGTTGCAACTAAGGGTGAACAGTTGCAGATAAAACAATCTCTATTCTCATTAAAAAGCCTGTAAAGGTTTCCAGTAGGTCGCTAGCTCAACACGTTCAGACCACACAAAGTTTTGTTACTTATTATTGTACACATGGGAAACAACAATTAAGTGTTGTTGTTCTTGACAAACATTGAAGATTCTAATCACGCGAATGTTTTTATGAGCGACTGTTCATCGTTAGTTGCAAGCCACGGTGCAACATACTATGAACTTTTTTCCGACTGTGACCGAATGTGCAACGATATATTTTTCAAAGTTGTTATCAATTCCTAAAATTTGTTTATAGTAAAACGGCGCCGGCCTGCTCAGCACTCACTACTCACGATGATTTCATTTAGAAATGCAGTTACCAGGAAAGGAACTGATTCTAAAATATGTAAATTTAAAAGTATTGGCTAACAGAATAAAACGATTTGAAGACAAGGTATAAACTTTTATAGTTGCTATTTGTTATAAAATCCTATAAATAAACCGATTCAACTATAATTTTGCCTCGAATTTGCATATTCTATACTGCATGTTTATATTTTATTTTTATAGTATAAAAATAAAATTGTATAATACCATGAAATGAAATACATTTCTGTTTATTGACCAGTACTTATTTAATGTCTTCTTCATCCCGTGGTCAGAGTAAATTTCTACTTCAAGCAAGTAAATATTTGACAAGCAGTCTGGAATAATCACAGGAATAAGCACAATAAGCCATTCTATAGTAGCAATATGAAAAGATTTTTCTTTTTCCATGACTTTTCATGCATCCGCCAAATCCAAATGTGCCCATCCCCCTCGCCCAGCCATTTTCCTGTAAAGCACATCCCGGGGGTTCGGCATTTCCACTCGAACCTTAGCCCCGGCGGGGCATTTGAAATTAAGGATTTGGAGGTTTTGCGATCACTGATAACTTGATAATAATCTGCAACTTTTACAGTCACTGATAACTTGATAATAATTTAAACCAGTCAAGTTGTGGTTTAAAATTAATATAGAGAATAATACATGGGTGAGCGGAAATACCAGATTTATTTCTAACCACCCATGTATTTTTCTGTTTATTATATAAAGGACAGTCTTTGAAAAGCGATAATTTTTACAGAAAAGCGATAATTGAAAAGCCATAATTTTCACATGTGAGATTATCATGAATAATTTCACATGTGAGATTATCATTTTTATCAGTGCTCGGAATCATGGGCGTACCGGGCGGGGGGGATGTGGTGAGGGGGCGGCAGCACCCCCCCCCCCCAGTTTGTTGAGCAAACAAAGCCAGTCGGGAAATATTCGCCACATAGTCGGGCAATATTGGCTTATTATGAAAATACGTGGGACAAATTCTGTCAATTTTGTGGGAAATTCTGTCAATTTTGTGGGAAATATGCTATCTAATAGGAATTTTTCGTAATCACTCCTCCCTCCCCCCCGTCGACAACAATTTTGGGAAGTCTAATTTCTCCGGAAAATTTTTTGGACAACGCGGGCACAATCCGAAAAAGTCGGGCAAATTTCTTTCCGCCCCCTTAATTTTTTCCTTCCCGTACGCCCATGCTTGAAATCTCTATAAAACACTATACTTTATATAATAAAAAATCATAAATTTGAACCACGCTAGAGCATGACAACAGCAAAATGCTCTAGAGTATGATGCACAATATTTTGGGAGGTGAAATACATGAACAATAAATCAGAGAGTGTTTGCTTGAAACTCACTGGAGGGCGTGGGCAACACCCCTGATAATTGCTCGTGAGGAATTTCAGGAAGATATCCAATGCACTTTTCGGTAAATTTAAGTAGATTTGCAGAAGATTTTCAGGGGAATGCAGGTAATTCTCAGGACATGAGAAAGTGAATTTGGAAAACAACAGTATTTTTGGAAAAATTATTATATGTTCTGAAAAATTTTTGTACATCTGGAAACATTTTGGTAACCCCCCCTTCTCTATCTACCCTCACCCCCCCAGAGACGACGTGCTCGCAACGGCACTGAGTATATATCTTTTGAAAACAGGCGAGGGGTTATTGCATGCACGTATTTCTAGTTTATATAAGATTCCGCTGCAGGCTCTCCCCAAATTGTGTGTGACCTTCCCGTGACGCAATCAGGGTTTGCGGAGGAGGCAGGCTCAAGACACCCTTGTAGAATCAAACACTATTTAATTGCTATTTAATTCCTTTTTTTATTGGCTATTTAATTCCTATTTATCAAAGTATTTATTTCCTATTTTTACTATTATTTTTTTTCGTTGTTTTTCCTATTTAAATTAGGGTAGAAAGGCTATTTTTTTCCTATCCAAGTGGAACTATATTTTTTTCCTATTCATGATATATTTCTAAACAAATACTTAATTGATGTACTCGAATAGAAATTAAATAGGTTTCAAATATGATAAAAATAGAGCTATTTAAGGAAATTATTAAAAATATTTAGTTTCGACATAGTTAATAAGTATGTATGAAATAGTTAAAACATAGTGACAATATAGGTAAAAAATATGTAATAAATAGCTGAAATAAGTTTCAACAAAGTTTAAAATAGTCAATAAATAGTTCAAAAATAGTGATAATATAGTTTAAAAGTAGATAATAAATAGTTCAAAAATAGTGATATTATAGTTTAAAAATAGATAATAAATAGTTCAAAAATAGTGATAATATTGTTTAAAAATTGATAATAAATAATTAAAATACATCCCAGCTTGTTAAAAATAGATAATAAATAGTGGATATAATATTGCCCAAATAGATTAAAAATAGTTAAAAAATAGTAATAACATATTAAATAAATAGTTAAAATATGTCCTGTTAATACAGTTAGAATAGTTATTAACTATAGTGTATACAAATACATATAGCCCATAAATATTTTTAAAATATATTATAAATACCAGTAGTTAAAACATAGATAATAAAAAGTTAAAACATATAATGTAAATAGTCTTTAAATAAAATATAATTAGTAAAAGAAATTGAGAACAAGTGTAGAAGTGCTGAAACATCAGAGGCTATTACAGACCTACTTTAGTATTTATCGTCTATAAATGCCAGACAATTTTACTTATCAGTAGGTAGAGGTCTGTCAATAAATGAGTTAAAAATCTGTAGTTAGCAGTCTCTATAGTAGCCAAAGAGTGAAGTACAGTACATACATACAGTAACTTGGCTGGGGGACTGGGCAGAAAAAAAGCAAGAACATCATGTAACATCAAGAATAGGGTGAAGCTCGGCTGCAGCTGTGTTCAGGCCTTCTTTACAGGTTAGAAAAAACATTTACTTTGAATAATACCCTGAATCTAGCTGGATATTTTTCAACTACCCAACATATATCCTGTATGTAGCTGGACAGCAAAAACATTCTATCTTGCACACCGCTGCAAAAGTACAAAGAACTTCAAGTAGGTAACATAAGAGGAAATTGCTCCTTTATAGGTGTTATAGGTAATGTTTGGGTGAGATATGGACCAGCATGCCACAGTCGGTAAGTAAAATTCAACCATGAAATGTCAGAGTTAAATAATAATATCAAAGTACTTAAGTAGGAAGTGTTATATGTCAACATGAAACATGGGTAGAGTCTAGCACTCTAGCTAGACACTTCCCTTGACAAATAAAATTGTCCGGCATTAGGCAAGATAACATTTAATAACAAAGTGCTGAATATTGGGCTCATTGGAGTGAAATGGGTAATTCCAAAAACAGTCAAACCCTTGCCGGGGTGTCTCTAAAATATATAAAATGAAGCCCAAAGGTTGTTACATATATTATTAAGCAGATCATGAAGACATGTGGTGTAACCAAATGTATTCATAAGTTTAACAAGCAAACTATAGAGACTTTAACTGTTTTCAGTTAGGGACACGTCTATAATCAAGTTGCCACACATGACAACAACACATCAAATTGATATTTTGATCTATTCTAAACTGACCCACCTATATATGAATAAATATTGGAAACTTATGAAAGTACCAGTTAATTTCAAACCAGTCGATAAATTTTCTGAAACCATGTTTAGCTTGTACATGCCTGGGTAGGCATATGAGTATTGAGTAGATGCCAAGCTATATTATTTTATACAAGAAACACTGGATTCTGGCAATCTGTCATATACACTATACACAAAGGTCATAGTATACTATTTGGCATTACAATAAACAACATTTAATATAAAGCTAGGCTGAGTCAAATGTAAGCCTTCTATAAAACTAATGTTGTTTTAATTCAAATATTGTCGAAGCAAATTGAAATTTTAAGCTAGAACATGTGTTCAAAATTCACGAATGAAGATAGTAAATATTTCCTTTCAAAATTGCTCTATTTATAAATAAAACATAACAAAATTCTTACCTGGATTTTACCCAGTCATTCCTGATGTTTAATCTTTAAAATAAATATTACTTTCGCTCAATAAATGCTCTGTATTTGAGTATTTCGAGCGCAAAGTTTAAACTCAAAAATTTTTAAATATGGCGGTGTGAATTGTGACGCTATCCCAGAAAGCTTTGCGCGTGTTGTTGGAAAATTAGGCACCAGTCTGTGGGTCTGTCAAACCGCGCTCTTCGTGAGAATTGTTGGTGGTGTTTTGTCAAGAGACAGAATACCTACCTCCACAAAGACTATAAATGTTTTTGTAAATATAATTTCAATGAACTCATAAAAAAATTAAAATTAGTTCAAACTGGGAAATTTTGACCAGTTAAATAAATACATTTACCCTTTCTCAATTCTCACAACTTTCTATGAATAGGAAATAAATAGCTGTAGTATATATACATGAACTTGTGGTTAGATTTCGACAACTGGACTCTGTACTGCAGCTCAGTTTGTTAGAGCTCTGCACCGGAATTGCTAGGCATCAGGTTCCATTCCAGCCGGAGACCTGTAGTTGCATTTTTCGCAGCTGTTCCTGGTTATAGGTCTAATAAATTTACACACGTATAATAAAATTACACACGTATAACAATTTCCATGAATAGAACTCTTCAACTATTATTCAATCGAGTGAGATGCCAACAAAATCTTGATATTTACCAATTACAGATAGCCCCTTTGATACCTCCATATATGCTTGGCTCAACTTGGAAGACGTTGCCGGCAAGGCACATGTGTTCACGCAATGTGAATGGGCAATACGTAGACAGTGGACTTGATGCGTTGTGAAACTCAGGAATACAATGAGCGAGCCCTTGCCACGCCGGGTCAGCTCTTCCCAAAAATCGGCCATCTGATATAAACTTTTTCAATATATTTTGGATGGACATGAAACTTGCTACATCAATATAACTTTCCATTCCGAACAATCGTATGTTTTTTATTTTTGAGATTTAACGGTTTTTGGCGGGAAAATGACGTCACGAAACCTCCAGTTAAAATTTATTTTCAATATCTTAATAGTTTTTAAGCAGAATGTGGAAGATCATGTCATGAAGAGTTCAAAACTGAAAAGAGATTTTAAATATCTTAATCTAATCACGAGATACAGGGAGTTTAGAATCGAATTTTCCACCATTTTGTTACTATTTTTAGATTTTTCACGGTTTTTATAGTGAAATAACTTTGGATTAGGTTTAGATATTTAAAATCCGTTTTCAGTTTTGAACTGTTCATGACATGTTCTTCCAAATTCTGCGACAAAACTATTAAGATATTGAAAGTAAATTTTAACTGGAGGTTTCGTGACGTCATTTTCCCGCCAAAAACCGTTAAATCTCAAAAATAAAAAACATACGATTGTTCAGAATGGAAAGTTATATTGATGTAGCAAGTTTCATGTCCATCCGGAACATATTGAAAAAGTTTATATCAGATGGCCGATTTTTGGGAAGAGCTGACCCGGCGTGTGCGGCAACTTGTGAATGAACAACTACCGAGGAACAGATTTTAAAGAATGTGTTCCTCGGTAGTTGTCCATTCACAAGTTGCCGTCAAGGGATCGCTCATTGTATTCCCGAGTTTCACAACGCATCAAATCTACTGTCTATGTATTGTCTATCAAGTCTGGTACGTATTTAAATATAGAATGATTTAGACGGGATCTTTTGTAAAGCCTTCTGCGGATAACATTTGGGATCACGTTGTTGCGGATGATTTTGTGGCTGTTTCCCTCTATAGACATATAGATATGTGCCCGTTAAATTATTGGGAAAAGAAAACGAGACAGTAACAATACAGTAATCGGAGGGGTTTTGGAACAAAATGTGGCAATCTTTGCTTCTCTGCTCTCTCTAATGGTGAGCCATGGACTAAAATTATTTAAAAAGTTATATATACCGTATCTGACAACATTTGCACTAACTGATCATCACGGCAAACTACGCTCTCAGACTAAAAAGCAACTCAAAAAATCTTCTCGAAGCAAGCTACCAGGAATAATAAGGTACAACTACATTTTAATAACAAGACAAATCAATCTCTAACAATAATGGCATATTCGAACTCAATAGTTGAGCATTGGCGAGAACTATGATACTTAAAATATTATAATGATTCTAGTATAAAACTTTTACTGATGTATATCCCAAAACGACACCTTTGGCAAGTGCATGTGGTTTGGGCAGTAATGTTTGATATATTGTAGTAACTGGACATATCGGTGACAACTGCTTTATAAAATGGGCCAAATGGCATATTTAATCCATCCTTAATTAAATATACTAATAGAGATTGGCGTCGACCATGCAGTCCAAAGCCAGTTTTGTTGTTTGCAAAATATTCCTAATTTATCAACCATGCATGTATATGTAAATATGGTCTCTTTAAAAGTCACATATCTAGTAATTAATCCTTGCCAAGCATGCCTGTGAGTGAATTCTCTTATCTATTCTATATTTTTTTTACAATGCATTATTTTTTCCATGAATATTGTTTTCCAAAATGTCCATTTTTAGCAAGGAAACTTGCGCGCGTTTACATTTCTGGAAAATATTTATCATGCATTTCAAAAATATTTGTCCATTTTACTGCAAAATAGACTATCGCAATTAGTTCTGGAACGTGCTTGTCACGTTTATACTTATATCGTCCATCTATGAAGCTAACAATCTGCAAAGTTATCTCCTTTGTCTAATTACTTGCTACAAGAACTGTCTAATTTTCCAGCGGTCTCCGTTTCTTATTGTGGCAATGTCTCCAAAATGTGAGCAAGTTTTTGTCCAATATTCCATATATCAGAGGATTTACCGAATGGGAACCAGCAACACGGAGAATAATACCAATATCGAATAACCATGTATATTTTATCCTCAGATGATATTCACCAGAGATAAACCATATATACCACGCCGAAATAGGAACATGTCCAACTCCGTAACAAAGAACAGTAACGAAACAAACGATACAAGTTCGTCGATATCGGATAAATCTCAGGATACTGAAGGAAGAGCTAGGCGCACTTCGTCTGACTGGATTTGAGCATATGCTTTTTATGTATTTGTTTTGTTTGATCAGTGCTCGACCTATTTTGTAATAAACTACAGCCATAAATATTGTTGGGAAAAGGTAAATGCAAGATACTAAGTAACCAGAATGAACTTTATCATAAACAATTTTGACATCGTTTGCATATATAAAACATAACGGTATATATGTTCCATAACCCGCAATGAAACCAACGATATACACGAAACCACAAACGACTTTCAAGTTCTGTCGACTGATGGCAGGTTTTAAGGGATGTACAGTAGCACGATAACGAAGAATTGAAATATTTAACATCATACCTATTCCTGCAACTTGAAGGACATAATATGTATTAGTGAGAGCACAAGACATGACGGAATGAGCAAAAAGTGGTTCTTCGTACCAAAAACTAGCAATACGATCCAAAACGTACGTGATCAGTACTCCCAAATCACAGACCGCAAGGTGTAAAACAAGAAAGTAGTAGTTGTTCTTTAACACGTTCCTCCGACTTTGTAGTATGGACATGATAACCAAAATATTACCAAGAATCCCAAATACAAGTACTACAACGTCAGAATATCTGTAGGCACCATATATTGTCTTCTCCATTAATTGTTTCGCTGAAGAGATTAGAGTTTTGACTTTCGCTGCTGAAACAAAATGATCAAATGCGCTATGTCGCGCCTAAACAAATATATTTGTCATTTGTTCTTCTTATCGAAGGAACTAGACGTACAAATGAGCTACCTGCAGCTTGTTTTTGAATATCTATATGCAAATTTGCACTCTTGAAATTATAATCGTAAACATATGAGGCATTACCAGACGTATTCCGCCAATGAAAATACTACACATAACGACATCGTTACCATGGTATGTAGCGCCACTTAAGGATTTCGATTGCGATATTAGCAAAATTATTTAAAACCGTTTCAGACAATTTAGCATGCATGAAAACTAACAAAGGACTTTTACAATTCACTGCCTCTGACAAGCCACTGATAATCTAAACATATGTTATTTCAATTAACAGAAATTAACATTAATTTTCTTTATTCGCGAGCAACACTTTCGAGTTTTGACAAGTTGTCAATCTTATGCTCTCGAATTTTCTGCATGCATATACAGTAGGTAGCCTACAAAGGATTTAATATTAAAGTTATTTTTTATCTGTTTTTAATTTACGTAAACTTTTGTATAAATTCTTCTGACAGGCGAATAATCTCAGTAGTTATCTCACTGGAGGGATATTTATTTAATTTGTCAATAACACACAAGAAATTGTGGGAATTAAACTGTTCTCTATAAAATCCATTGAATATTAAACATGTTTACGCTACAAACTAAACAGGTGTGATCACGATCATTGCATGATCATGTTATCCGATGACCTATAAACAGAATCAACCTGGTTTACTTCAATTAGCTGGGGGTTAATTTATAATCTGTCAACATGCATAACGTGGGTTTAATTACTGGTATAGTTGGCACACTACTATTCCAAAATGCTCCATCTATCCCGGGTTCAACCCTGGGATAGGTATGTGGCTAAACGTTAAAAATTTATGAAGCAGCCAAGTTATCGTAGTGTCTAGCACTAGATGTAATGGAGAGGCACATAAAATAAATTATTAATATTCTCTTTATAAAATTAAACTTATGGAAGCAATAAAAAAACATATCACTTCAGCTGTCTTTCTCTGCTCGTTCTTCTCCAGATACATAACCCTTATATATAGCATCACCTGTAGGGAATGCAGTCCTTATATGATGGTAGATAAATGTTATATAAATGATTGCGAAGCCGTAACGCCGAGTCATATTTTTCTGTGATGAGACAACTCTAGCGTTGCACCGGGGAGTTAAAAAAATCTATCAGTATGCTGCGAGATGGAAACATGTTAATGTTCTTGCAAATGATTTTTGGTCGAGATGGATGAAGGAATATGTGCCAAGCCTCCAAGAGAGACAAAGGTGGTTTGAACGACGTCCAAATTTCAAAGAAGGTGAACTTGTACTAGTGGTGGACAACAACCTTCCAAGAGGAAAATGATCAAAGGGTATTGTTGAACATGTCTTTCCAGATAGTTTTGGAGTTGTACGCAAAGCGTCTGTGCGTACTGCGACAGGAAATTATCGAAAGGACATAAGGCAGTTACTGTATGCCTGTTAGAAGAGGATTCGATACGAGAATTTTGAACAAGAATCTTTAATAGAGAAGATTTGGGGGAGAGTGTAAAAAATGCATAATTATTTATAGTCGCGTAATGATACTAATATAATAGTGTAAATAATGCATAATTATTTATAGTCGCGAACTTTCGTGAACAGTCGATCGCGGTCGGATAACGAGTGCCCATGCTTCACTATGGTGAATATAAAACGCGGCCGGCCGCCATGTTTTCTGACATTGTTTTTTTTATACTATAGAGTAAACAGGGACAAAAAATTACAGCTTCTTAGATATTTAAAAACATCTAGAATGTCTCAATGACAAGGTAAAGGAGCCATTCATTTATAGTTAGTAATTTTTCATTATTTTAACAAACATTACTAGTTTGTTGTAAATTTATTGTATTTAATTTAAATCGCACGAATATATCGTATGTGAACTTGTTGGATTTTGTGAACATATCGAGGAATAAATATTAAAGACGAATATTACACATTTTGTGTCGGTCATGGCGCCGGCCACCCATCAACTTATTTGACTACTGCAACGTCTTGCTTGACTAGTGTATTTTAATTCCAATGGTTGTTAACAGTTTGCTTGTTATCATGTTAATACTCAAATTACTCATTTTGTCTCTAGTATTTTTTGCATTATCATTAAAATAGCACACCCCCTACATACCCTAGTCCAGGGCTAGGTGGAGGTGCACACCGTGCAGTAAATCCATCCCTAATATAGTGGTAAAATGCAATGGTCATACACAATTGATGTTAATAAAATGCTTTATTCAAAAGTTACAATATATAAAGTAAACACTCAAGGATGTTGCAGCATTTTCATGCTTGTCACCAATTACGCATACAATGAGAGCATAAGGCGAAGAATGAGGTATGCTGCTTTTACTGTAATACCACATATGACACTTCTTAGAGTCTTGTGGCAAAGTACAGATTATTCTAACTTCTTTTATAACCTGAGAAGCACAAACTAACCCTGCATGCTGAATTCCCTAGTAGGTGTAGCCTAAACGTTTGCCGGCATGCAACAACCCTTCGCCTATATTTTCCAAACATTGTTTCAACCTGAAGTATTCGTAATTACGCCAACACTGAACGCAGGCTCGCGTTGCCACGTCATGTTAGTCATGGCAACACGATAATTTTTTTTTATTTGTTGATGTACAAACCCGCAAAAAATAGATGAGATTTGAACGCTTTTAAATACAGAACTATCAATTTCTAAAATATACGAAGTAGGTATATTATTTTGCATGGTTTCTATTGGCTTTATTTTAATGTAAATTCAAAACAAAACTCTACGTAAAACGTTTTTAAATGTGAACTGAAATTAACTGCTTTTTGCCGATATTTATAACTCCTCAACTCGAGCTTCATCTTATTACTCGCACTTTGAAATGAAATAGATTTAATTCGTACAGGACGCTAATGAAAATAATTTGCTTTCCTTTTTATCATGAACTTCCACAAAAGTTAATAATTTGCTTTCCTTTTTATCATGAACTTCTAAACAAAAGTTTCTTTATCTAAGAAACTTTCGCAAGCAGTGCATAGGAAAAACTTGAACATCAAGAACAAAGTCTATATTAATACAATTAATTAAAGTCATGCATAAACAATTGAAACAAAGTTGCCCTATACTTTATGATTTCTCATACTATATCAATTATATTCTTATAAATGTTTACGTTTAAAAATTGAAAAAAAGTTTTACAATTTGTTATTATGTGAAACGATTTTCCAGCTTTCGCAGGGAGTGGTCATTATTTATGGGGAGGGGGGTTGGTAAATGGGGAAAATAAGGATTGAAAACTTTTTTGACCCCCCCCCCCTACAGACAGAAGGCAAACTTTTTGTGCTCCCCCTCTTAAAAGTAGAAACTTTTCTGACCCCCCCCCCCGTGTGGATTGAAAAATTAACACCAATGAAACAGGTGTGCGTTGCAGGTAAAGTTAGATATTAGGATATTTTAATATATAGCTCATGTTTTACCCTGGACGTCCCTGGTGAATATGATTCAACCATATATGATTAAAAATATATATTATGTGTTACAAATTTGCAATGCAACATTTGTCCTACCATAACCCTAACCCATGGCCTCTCTTCATACAGCAAAATGATTTGAACACAGGGCTTTTTTAAGAACTTGTCAGGAGGGTGGGCATCTACATACGTGATAGCGCGTGCGCGTGCACACGCGCGCTCGGCGCTCCGTAAAATTATTTAAAATTTTGCATCAAACTAAACGTTAAAGTTTCAACTTCATTGGAAAATAGTGGATAAGGATATTGTCTTGGGTATTATTAGATTGGCGTACGACTTTTGGTTGTCTACATCAAGAAAAAGCGTCAAGTATCGCGGTGTTTGGTGTGAATCAGGCTATCAGCTGGAATCACAAGTTTTGTCTCACGCAAACAAACGAAACGCGTCATCGCTCGCGCTATAACGGCTGCCAATTAGAAAAATCTCAATCAATATCGAAATTAATCAGAACAAATTTATATTAATTTCGCGCGTAAATCGTTTTTAATACGTTTAATTTGCGGCAAAATGGTTGTTTTCAAACGTAAACCTAGTGGTGGTTCTTTGGACTCAGTGGTGGTTCGAAATTTCCGGAAATCGGTTGGAAAGTTTTCGTGCACGGTTTCCCTTTGGTTTTTCACTTTCACCATCATATGGATATGCACAAAACTCGACATGTGCCGCTCGGACTCATTGAATTCAGCGTGTCTTGACGAGAGGATGATTAGAACGACAATAATCGTTTCACGTTGTTGCCTGTTATGGTTTATCGTTATCACAAGATAAAGAAACGTGTTACTGCGCCGCTTCACTTTCCCCAATCCACCTGAAACAAGCACGGGTTATTTATGTCTATCTCCACCTGACTTTGATCCTGACTTTGACATAACCATTCATATGGATGTCGAAATTAACCCTGGTCCTACCAAACATTCCTCGTTTCCAAGTCATGACCACCTCAAAAGCTTGCATCTAAACGCGAGAAGCTTGAAAGCTTTTGTACGTTCGAGTGAGGATCCATCCGCTAAAGTGTGCAAGATTTCTCTGCTTCAAGACCTGATCTATTCTGGGGACTAT